GAGTGCGGTCAAGCTTTAAAGAAATCAGAAAAAAATCATAATCTATAGATTAATGTTATTATTAATCCATATGAAACAGAAATAACTAGATTATGTCACATGTGAAAGAATTGACATTTTTTGCAGTTACAATCAGGTGAATAAAACAAAAGATTATATAATTGATTCTTGAGATGAATAAGGATTTTTAATATAGAGGTAGTATTCATCACTCACAGATATCAGTTGGGGCACTATTAAAAATCTGGGAACACTGAACAGCTGTGTCGTCCTAATATGAGACTCCTCAGGAGTGCGCACCCACAACCCGACTAGAGGTCCAACTCAGAACCTTCTCTATACATTACTGTATAGTGCTTATTAGTGACATGTTTCCTAATGGATATCACGAAGTTCCAGTGAGAAACCGTAACATGTGGGGTCAACCAGTTGGAGAGAAAGCGGATGCTAACTGATGACCTAGGGTGATAGTCGTGCCATATCGAAAATTGACAGAAGTTGGGAACTGCGTACCACTGACCCAGTGGCTGAATGGTTAACGCGTTCACCGTGAGACCGAAAAGTCCTGAGTTCGACCCTTAGCCGGGTCGTGGGTACGTCCTGTCGAGGAGTCTCATACTAGGACGACATAGCTGTCCAATATTCCCAGATTTTCAGTGGTTTCCCAACTGATGTCAGTCCGATTATGTAACTAACATGAAAGAAGATTTAAGTGAAGTCACCCTGAGAGTGACTGACAACTGATCAAACTTTCGTTCTGTTCATATTGGCTTGTTTGGAAGCGTTCCTATAGTAATCATTGAAGCAAAACGAAGTGGTCTGGCTATATTCTGTATGTCTAATATTTGTAAAGGACTAGATACGCGAAATTATTGTCTTGCATCTACAACGTGTCTGACCTTGACATTTTGCGAAATAAAGCTTCCATTCAACCAACAACTCATCTGACGTAGTTGGTTACTGGATTTCAGTCTTAGAAAAAAATAAACTCATTACTAACTGGTGACTTCCTAATAAAACGAAATACATTTGAAATTCTTCTGCTAAACCAGTTTCGGGTTACAGTTACGAGAAACATGGAAATCACTGTAAAAAAAAAGACGATACATTTTTATAGTACATAAATGTCAAAGGAGATACGGTTTCTCTGGAAAAAAAACCCAGAAAAACAGCTAAAATAGTGATTGTGTAACCTTTATACCGTTTACATAGTGATGATGAATAGCGGAATTCAGGATGCGCATTTCGTCCTGTTTGGGACTCGTCAGCTGGATGTACCTGGCTCCTGGTGAGTGATGTGGTTCCCGCCGGGATTCGAACTCGGAACCGATCGCTTCAAACACTTGAGCGTTATCCACTAGACGATCGAGGAACGACAGCCACTTCTTGTGCGATGAGTATAGTTTTAGTATTATTGGTTGTATTATCCTATCGTTGATTGGACTGAATTGATCGGTTTCTATTGGCTGGCATACGGGATCCTGCGTGAATGCCTTGATATTGCCTGTGTTTTAATTCTATGTAGTGTAATGATGGCTAGTGGCCAGCAGTGGGATCGACGTAGCGCATTTCATTCTATACCGTTGTTTATTTTATTTTCTTTAATGATTTTAATAATCATAAATTTTAACTTGACTTCAGTTCTGTTGTGTACTGTGTTCATATATGATAAACACTGATATAAATTCCTTAGATAGCAAATGAAATTTATATTCACGTGAATAGGTCACCTCTTGTATGTTGTGACATAAATAAAGTACTTTTTTTTACTTTTGTCCTTCATATTTAACTTTTTTTTATGACAAAGGATATACCAATCTAACGATCTATAATGTGACTTTTATGAAAAACATTTCAAGAAAAAGTGGGAAAGTTATTCTCTATCCATGAAATGCAATATACTACTCATTATTATGAGTAGATAGCCATCATTATCATTATATGCTACTTGTTTGAAAATGAAGCCGAAATCTGTTAACCATTTGGATCTAACTAGCTCTTCTGTAGATGCAGTCATAGAATGATACCAATATACACTTTTTGTAATATTTTTCAATTTGTCACTATGATTTTTGATCATGAAAGGAAAAACATTATGCCATTTTATCGATTTATTAGATTTATCAAACAGTGTAACAGTATTCTGTACTGGATTACTTTTCGGATATAGTTTATTGTCCATAATCATATCAAGATAACTACACAACTTTGAGATATCCTTTATATAATCCTAATTTCGTCGCCCCCTTTGTGACATGAGTAATTAGGTTTTCCATATATCAGGTACTGAGTCATTCCAGTTGCATGTACTAGGTGTTGGTTCGATAAACACAGATTCTTCCCCTTCACCTTGTTCGACCCTGTTGTGCGTAATCGCATTCATAGCTATGGCTGAGCTTTTTTCTAAATTTCTTATCTTACTAGGATCCACCAGCCTAATTGACACTGGTCGACTACTCTTTGACCTATGTGTTTGACCGCACAATCGTTGCAAGGGATTTGGTAAACTAAGTTATTCCGCTTAATTGGATCAATAGGATCTTTTAACCTACAAAGCTTATTTCTAAGTGAGTTTGTAGGTTTAAATGTCACTCTAATCCCATCTTTATTTGGAATTCTGCGTAGTGTTTCTGAGGTGGCTTCTTTGTATGGTAATTCTGTAGAGGTTTTGAATTCTTTCTACATACTATTCCCACTATTATTATTACTGCAACCAGTAATACCTGTATTACTAATATTGGTCACATTTTCCTTACGATCCTCAAGAAACGTAACATTTAATTTGGAAGGGTAATTGTTGATGAGTAAGGTGTCTTTAATGTCTCTGGTTTCTTGTCTCAGATCTTCTGTTTCACTAGTAAGTTTCTTGGCCCTGTTATTTAGATATTTTACCAAGCTAACCTTAACTGACATAGGGTGAGACTATTTTAAGTCTAAGTAACGGTTTGAATGTGAAGGTTTTCTGTAGACACTAGTGTCTAAACTTCCATTTTGTTTCATAACATAACAGGGTGGAGAAAGAGATTAATAACTGAATCAGTGTTTATCGAATCAACACCTAGTACATGCAACTGGAATGACTCAGTACCTGATATATGGAAAACCTTATTACTCATGTCACAAAGGGGGCGACGAAATTAGGACTATATAAAGGATATCTCAAAGTTGTGTAGTTATCTTGATATGACTATGGACAATAAACTATATCCGAAAAGTAATCCAGTACAGAATACTGTTACACTGTTTGATAAATCTAATAAATCAATTAAAATGGCATTGCATTCTACTACAGTGCACAAGTTTCACTCATTTTAAGAAACAATGGCTTGTAATCTCGCATGAAAGAGCATCGATACAATTTATTGTATTTGACACCAGCACAAGTGAGAAATGTAAAGATGATCATGAAGAGAATAGATAGACCAATGAAACCAATATCGTGTAATTGCTTGTATTATACCGTCGTTGATTGGACCGAATTGATCGGTCTCTACTGGCATATGGGCTCCTGTGCGGATGCCTCGATATTACCTGTGTTTTGATTCTATATAGTGTAGTGATGGATAGTGGCCAGCAGTAGAATCGAGGATGCGCATTTCCTCTTATTCGGGACTCGTCAGCTGGATATACCTGCCAGCCCCCAGTGAGTGACGTTGTCCCCACCGGGACTCGGGAAAGACCACTTCAAACACCTGAGTCCCGGTGGGAACAATGTCACTCACTGGGGGCCGGCAGGTATATCCAGCTGACGAGTCCCGAATAAGAGGAAATGCGCATCCTCGACTCCACTGCTAACCACTATCCCTTATTGCTATTAGAAGTAAAATAATTTCAATAATTCCTGGAAATCTGATTCAAGCATCTTAAGAGAAATGATCAAAAATGAAAAAAATCAAAGGTAGATAAATGAGCCCCAAAAACTTGTACTTAATCGCCTTGTCCATTTCTGTTGCTGTCATGATTCTTTACGAACTATGATTACTAACCATTCAGTATGAAATTTCATATTTTACAAACAATGATTATGCTAACGGGATAAGACAAGGAGATTAAGTACATAAGAGGTGGTTATCGTGCCCCAGTGGCTTAGTGGATAACATTCTGACGTTTGAAGCTAGGGGTACTGGGCTCAAGCCTCGATAGGAACGATATCACTAACTTTGGGGTGCAGGTAGATCTGGCTGACGAGTCCTAGATAGGACGAAACTCATGTCCTAGATTCCTCTGCCAGTCACCAAGATCAAAATTACTCGTTTTTGAGTTCATTTATCTATCTCTGATTTTTAAAAAATTCATTTTGATTATTTCCCTGAAAATGGTCAGATTAAATTCCCATCCGAAACATTGTAGGCATTCTATTACTACCACGCTAAAATCTATACCGAATGTCAACTTTTCACCGCTCCCCTCCATTTATGACAATATTTGGTCAAACCTCGATCATAGCTCCTATAAAGTTATATTCTGTTCAAGATCACTGTCCATTCTAACATTTAAATATTATTATTATGATTCTTTCTCCCTTGGGTTCCTAGTGGAACATAAGACTTCAGTAGCACGTCACCATTCCACTCTGTTCTCTGCAGTCTTTTTAACCTGGCTCCACCACTGCCCACAAGTTTTCATTTCTTCCTCACACCATCTCCTTCATGTCACCCTCGGACTCTCAACTCATCGTCTCACATTTGTTGGGCGACGGGTCCTTGGTTGACTCGTTGCAAGGCCAACCAGAGTTCCTTGTCACTTATTCTTTCTGACCATCTCATCTTCAGTATGCAGTGAGCGTAGGCAGCTAGCTATACATGCATGTCTGTAGTTTGTTAGAAATACTTTTCGTAATGCACCAAGTCTCTCAACCATCACATACAACAACTGACTTACTTCACTGAATTAGTATTGAAAGTCTGGATGTTGTTCACGCTTCATGCTGAGTGCAGTGCAGTACAGTACAGTAGATCTCCACACTGATTTCAGATTGATGCAGGAAGGCCTGTCTTGATGTCTTTCCAATTATGGCTGGCTGGCTTTGACATCCTCATCTGTGCCTATACGGTGGCCGGTAGTTGAAACGATGCTGCCTAGGTAGGTATGTAGGTGAAAGAGACAACTTTGTTCAGATTTCTCTTGTTGATGGTGATTGGTGACTGTAGTAGTAGTAGTAGTTGTTGTTGTTGTTGCTGCTGCTACTGCTGCTGCTGGTTGGGTATCTTCATCACCTCTGTCTTCTCTACGTTCACCTGAAGGAAGTCTCGTCTTCCTTGACTGCCCTACCTCTTCTACCAACTTGTTGGTTTTTGCCTGTAGATCTTCGAGTTTGTGCGACATGACATTAGACATAAATCCAAATCTTCCTCTAGGATCTTTCCATCGGTCCAGCCAGCCAGTGTATGCCCATCTTCTCACAACTCCTCACAGTTGTCTGTTACATGATCCAGTCGACCACAACCAGGAAGATGATGGGTGATAGTAGACGACAACCTTGTCTTCCTCCTGTCTTCACTTCAAAGGCATCAGTGAGCTGAGCTTTCCATTGTGAATCACTTGGCATGTCGCATCGTCAGATGGCATATAGCTGTTGAATGAGGTTGATGAAGGTTTGTGGCCATAAACCTGTAGTGCTGAAGCAGCAGCCGCCAAATTACTTCTCGGTCAACGCCATCGAAGGCATTTTTAGGGTCTATGAAGTTGAGGTAGAGATCCAGTTGACTGCCATTCTATGATCTGTTCTATGATGATGCATAGAGTAGCGTTGCAATTTGATCCACACATGATTTGTTCTTGAAGTAATCCAGCCTGTTCCGGTCGTGATGTTGAGTCTAGAGCATTTTTAGTCTATCCAGGATGATGCGGCATAATATTTTGCTTGCTTGGGGTAGACAGGGGTGGAGCATGATTCCTCGCGAGTTCTTGCAAAGTCTTAGGTCTCCATTCTTTGGAAGTTTGACAAGGTAGCCCTTCTTCCACTCTGCAGGTACCTTTCCTCCCTTCCTTCAAAACCTTCTTCAACAGTGGTGTTAGAATGTCCGCTGATGTCTCTGCGTCTGTTCTCAATGCTTCTTGAGGAATTCCATCTGAGTTAAATAAGTTAGTGTTTATTGTGATGATGATAATACACAAGTGTTATCATGTTCAGTAACCACATACGAAATTTAATTGACATAATTCACCTATCACACTCCGAATTCAAGTGATTGTTCTTTCTCTAGATATTTTATTCAGAGTATGAACAGACCAAAAGTCAGACCTAAATGCATTGTATATACACTCTCTTAACAAATAGTACAGTTCTCAGAGTAACCAGATAAGTCGTTTGATAGGCACAAATCACAGACAGATGGATAAAATCAACTTAGAATCTCGCACACAAGTGCATCAGTTCAAGTTGCCACATTTAACAGCAGCATGAAAAGAACAAGTGGGCAGAAAAAGTCTGATATCAAAGTAGAGAAAGTTGTACGAGGGAATAAATATTTTAAAGATAATGGTTAGTGCGAATATTCAAGCTTTAGAAGATGTCAAATAATGAATGCATCTGCGCCACAGTGACCAGTTTCCAGGTATGTAGTAAAGATTCGTCAACCACTGATTTGTATCGTCTCCAGGACCTCAGCCAGGTAGTGTACACCTGAGACCAACAGTTAGAGTTTTGACTGAATGTTACCATGTCTTTTTGTGACTACCGTGAGCTTTGTTGCAATTTAATCCAACTTCGCGTAACATAGCACGTCGAGGTAGGCTGTGACTTGGCATGCACAATACGTGTTCAAGCCACTTCAGTTGCTGAAGGTTCACAACCTCATTAATTGATTCGCCTGTCTTGCCTAGTATCCTTCATTTGACCTGAATACTGGTCACATGATGATTGCACCAAACGTGAGCTATGCCACGGAGACATATGTTAACGAAACGTTGATCAATCACACTATCCTGACTTGATTGATTGACTTAAAAGAGACATGAACTTATGACCTCTATTGATGGTTGTGATGTATCGACTAGTCTATTCAACTATTCTTGTCTTTTGATAGTATTTACTGAATTGTTTTGCATTATATTCAGATGATTTACAAATGTTTCGTATAATATTTTGTTTGACCTTTGAGAAAAGCGTATTGTTCTAGTTGAAAGTACATTCTGACCAACAATTATTGTTAGTTTTTCAATTCTCTCCACCTTTCTTTTGTTGTTGTTGACTCTATTGACGCTAAATTCAAAAGTATAGTATACGAAACCATTGTAGTCCTTTTTCTCGTGATCTAACATATGTATAGATGTTTTTCCCCCAGAAAAAAAGAAAATAAATTATAAAACCTCAAACAAGTAGTTGGATGAATCTATATGCTACGTAAGAAAGCATACTTCATTGTTTGTTGTATTGCGTATCTTTGTTTCAGATCAATCTATTCTATACTTTGATTACTTTAAGCATGGTATATTAATTGAATGTTATGCATGAATAGCATAGCATAGCATAGATGAAAAGGCTTTATGAGACTCTGTGAATAAGATGTTAGAGAGTGCAATCGAAACAATAGTGCATAACCTTGCATTAAGTGTTGCGTGTATTTCACCTGGCAGACTTTTCAGTAGAACATGATTAGTAAGTCAGGAGACATAAACAGATATCAGAATGATTAAGGATATAAAGTAAATGAACTAACACAATTTGGAGTTCCTCACACTAACCAACCTCCCATAGTTATCGTATAAATAAAGATAGACGATTGTGTTTAAGTGGCAAACTTTTGTAGGTGGGATGACTGTGGAATCCGTAAGCTAGAGGTTAAGAGTTGACTGCTATTTTTCAAAACTCATGCTTAAGATAGAGGTAATGCGAGGAAATATGTATGCTGTTGTAATATATTCTAAGCCACTTTATGAATCCTTTGTGATCCTCACCCATACCATGGCACGTCGAGATAGGCTGTGGTTTGGCATGCTCAGTACAAGTCTAAGCCACTTCAGTCGCTGAAGTTTCAGGATTTCATCGACCTCCTAACCTGGGTATTGCTAAGATGGTTATTCCACCATACGCAAGCAATGCTGCAGAGACATGTATAGTCCAAAACCCGTAATCTCTTCAGCAGTATCTCACGGCTGCATAATAGGACAACGGGTTTCAGCACGGTATGCTCATTTTTTAACAGGTGGTGTGACATCTCGTCCGCCGGCGATAGAAATGACGCAAGTTAGCAAATGTTGAAAACAGGCCTTTATATCCGAGCTGAGATTTGGTCGGCTACCAACCCGTTCGGGCTGATGCGACTACCTAAGTTAGTGAAGTGGTCGATCCATTTCATCACTTCACTCCGTATCTTTAAACTAACAGTAGGTACGGATAAGTCTTACATCATCGTCTCGTATTTAACGCGTGTCAAACATAGACTGATTTGTGCTCAAGGTGTTCAGAAAATTGCATTTTATCAGCGTGTATGTCTAACAGGACGATGTACCGCATACTTTAAGTCGTGCAGATGACGTCCACGGAGTAGGTCAATCTCCATGAAATCAGACGTACCTACTGTTACATCCATTAGTACATCGATAACGGATTTCAACAAGGTATCTCTCATAGACACCATTGGCTATTGTCAATTTATACAACAACTGTTCATAAGCCCTTACATTGAGATTTGATTTCGAGAAGGAAGCTTTGATTATCGCAATATATTTGCTTGGTACTCCCTTTACGGTTAGACACTGCCACAATACCTCACGGTCGACAGAGTCGAATATCGCCCTTAAAGAAAGGTGTATTGTTTTCGGCACACCGATCAGTAACTGAACAACAAGTCTTAAGTGTTGACGACTACAACGCAGTCATTAAACTAATTGGTTCGACATGAACTCTGTTTGGTGTTAACGACGCTTAGCGGAAGTTCATGCCTCAAACAACACTAGTTAGTCAGAGATGACCTTACTCTATGTGCGAATTGATTCCTGTATTTAGTATTAAGCTAAAAAAATTTCGCATACTTATCTATTGGTAGTATTAGTGGAATGTTTCAATCTTTACTGTTGTCTGCAGAAATTTTGTAATTTTCTTCCTTTTTTTTGGGCGTGTACGCATATCCAGTGTGCAGCATTGTTAGTTGAATTGGTCTCTCTGGTTGAATATTACGTAGTCTGTCATGATCACGATCATTTAATTGAATTCTTTCATACCTTTAATTCACCTTCGCATTCATCTCTTTCAGCCATCATGACATAAAATATACAAATACGCAGTTACACTCTTCTGTATAATATACTGGGTAGATGTAATTGGTCACTTTGTTTAGATAGAAAATTTCGTGTCATTTGAAACGATGGAACCCTCTATGTTTAAATCTCAGTAGAAACTATTAAATTAATTGAAACCAAGTTGTGTGTAAGTGATTGGAAGTGAAATGAAGATTTGGATCGCAGCCGGATTTGAACCAGCAACCATCGAGTTTATGGCTCGATGCTCTACTTCGTTGTTTGTTCAAATATTTGAATTACCAGATTATACCACTACGATGATTTCTTCATGAAGAAGGGGAATCTTACTACAGTGTTTATCTGTGTTATTGTTTGTATTATACCGTCGTTGATTGAACCGAATTGATTGGTCTCTATTAGCATTATGGGCTCCTGCGCAGATGCTCCGATTTCGTCTGTTTTTATTACATAGTGATGATGGCTAGCAATGAGATTCAGGATGCGCATTTCGTCCAGTTTGAAACTCATCATCCCATATACTAATAGAGACCGATTAATTCGGTCCAATCAACAACGGCATAATGCAAGCAATAACACTAAAACTATCCCCGTTGCACAAGAAGTGGCTATCGTGGCTCGATGGTCCAGTGTATAATGCTCTGGCATTTGTATTGAATGATCCCGAATTTGAATCCCAGTGGGAACAAATCACTCACTGGGAACCGGCGGGTACATCTAGCTGACGAGTCCCAAATAGGACAAAATGCGCATCCTGAATTCCTCTATTAGCCACTATCCATCATTACATTGTCTATCTGTTGAAGCTATTCATGAAAGCATCCATGTCATATTTGGTCCATTGGTCAGAAAGTATTTTTTTTCCTAAATACTTGGCCTTTTTTATTCTTTTCTTTTGCGTTCCATAGTATTGTTCGTCAGAAAAAGCATACTGCATCTCTGAAGTGAAATAATTCCTAAAGACTGTTCTTACCCTTTATTTTAACTCTTCAACAAACTAAGTAGATATTCAAGCAGTAGCATTTTTCCTACTTGTCAGTGGATTATCTGTGTAAACTAGTACGACGGCCAAATTGTCGATAAACTGGATAAGTGGAGTATATTTAGTTGGTAGACTCATTTATATCCACAGAAATATTAGTTGTAGTTTAGACAAAACTGCAGAATTTTAACCAGCCATACCCTGGTTACGGATTCAAATTTAATTTTCTGTCTGATAACCGACACCTGTTATTTTGATGTTGTTTGGCTAACTTATCACAATAACCCAACAAGTTATGCTCCGTGAAACAATTGGTCCTTTAGGTTCAATCATATCTAAAAGAACTGTTGGATAGTAGAAATACTAAAAGAAAGTAACTTTCCTATTGTAAATACCCCTATGTGGTGGGGGTCTGAGGACGAAGTCGTATTGTTGAATGTATATGTTGTGAGGGAAGTAAGGTGTTTCTCATAGTGCCCCTCTGTGTCCTACTGTCTTCTGGTGTTGATTTTAGGGGTTATTCTTCTAGTCCCTATGTAATCCAATCAAAGCAAAATCTCATACTGCCAAAAAGGTTATGTGTAACCGACCTCATGCAGTTTTCTTTGTGTGATAACGCGAAAATAACTTCTACTCTATATACAGCTAGGAAGTGCCAACCGTCCTCACACTTCCAGCAGTTTTTCTGTATATCTATCGAGCATCTGGCTAGGTCTTGACTTCATATCCTCTTGGCGAAATTGTTTTAGACAAACTAATTGATAATCACTAGATATTTTTCATTATCTAGTTCATTTCCTGTTTTAGTTAAAGAGGAAGAGTTGCTTTTGATAAATTACATACACGTACGATAACTGGATGCAACATTCGATTGTCGATGATGTTGTGCTATCGAAACAGAATAGAGAAAATGTATTTTGCGTAATGGCATAAACTGTGTAAAGATTTGCCTATCCAGTTGCCTATATTTATGTAGCATATACCCTTGATAAAATAGCTATGAAATGTCTGCATCTTTTTCCTGCTTATCCTCTTTTCTCAATGACTGTTTAGTCGATTATCAGTCAAGGTGAGATTACTTGTCGTATAGGTGCGAAGTAAAATGTAACTCAACCCAGTCCAAGCTTATGTACTAGGCCACTAATTATATGTATTGCGCCTGGGAAGTTGGATCAGCCCTGGTGGCTCAGTCGCCGACGAAACCTCTGCACGAATACAAAAGGCTCATCTAGCTTTTGCCAATTTGCGCCACCTGTGGCACCACCGTGATATCCAATTGTCTATTAAGGGTCGCGTGTACTGCACAGCAGTCCACTCTGTTCTACTGTATGGCTGTGAAACATGGCCGTTGAAGTTGGAAGACATGAGAAAGCTTCAAGTGTTTGACACCGTTTCCTTCGTAATATAGGCCGTATTCCGTGGTGTCACCACGTGAGTAGCGCAAAAGTCAGGTGTAGAGTTTTAGGGAGGAGAGATAAATCAGTTGATGAGGTTGTGAACCTTCATCGACTGAGTTGGTTGGGACACGTGTTACGCATGCCTAACCACCGTCTGCCTCGTCATACAATGTTAGCCGAAGTAGGTCCAGGCTGGAAAATAGCTCGGGGCAACCCGACTAAAATATGGCATCATTGCATGAAGTTGTTGGCTGTTCGTTTGAACCATGTAAGACGATGAAGACTGGCTGGTTGGGGTCCGTGAGACAAGAGAAACCAGTGGTTGGAAACTCTAGGGGATATGGCTCAGAACCTATGTCAGTGGCGCAGATGTGTATACCAATTATTCTCATCCTAACCGCTGTACTTAGTTTCATCATTTTCTCATTCCTCCTTCCCTGTTACTACTTTCTACTTCTTTTAACCGATTTTTCTTTCCTTCTTCATCTTTCATATTATTACTTGTTACTTGATGTACTGATGTGAGATGTGTCAAGCAGGCCGTTACGCAGTAACGCCTGGTCCTGTGTTAATCTTGATGATGATGACATTGTTATCTGTGAAACTGGAAGATGTAAACAGCAGGAAACCCGACATCGCAGAAGAATGCGAACCAGCGGCCCTTGGACTACCGATCTAACTCGATACCAACTGAGTAACGAGACTCAGCTGGTGATCAAGTCTTAGCTTCACTTCAATTACAGAAGTTTTTGCTCGATTGTCATCTGGATCTGTTGATCGTAACAATCCGTGTCAACTTTCCGGCTAGCTTTTCTCGTACCAATCGGATTCGAGCTGAATCAAATGTTGGATAAAGGACTAGAGGTGAAATAAATACACCATGGTTTCATAGATCATTGGATAGAGCGTTGAGTTGGCTTTGAATCCTGCCACAATGCAGGGTTTAACTTCACCCTCAGTCATCACTTCAGACCAATAATACCAGTCTGCCAAACCATGACTATCTGAGACAATGTCAATTTCTTTCGTCATATCGCTTGAGTTTATAGTTATACTTGTAACTTTATTTTGTGAGGTATTCCTGTGGTAACGATATCTTAGATCGATTTCTGTGGAATAGAGCTATTATTGATATATTCACCACCATGTAGAAAGCGAATTCAACATCATTACTGATTGATTATGCGTTACTTACATTTAAGTAGGAGTTTTATTGAATTAATTGGTTTTTTGACTTGTTTTAGAATAAAAAGCATTGCTTAACTACTATGATTTCATTGATTGGGTTTATTGAAATATGTTGGCCACAAAAAGTTTGGTAGAAGAGATAGACTTACTTAAGCAAATCACCTTCATCAATATGATATGTAATGTAACATAACTTTTTGTAACTATGATGTTCACGCTATCATCTTTACAGTATTTAGTGTTAAATTCACTTTCTCCATTTACTTTTACTCTTCATTTCTTCAATTACAGATGGAATCCTGTGATTGTTAAATGCTGGACTCAATTGAAAATACTTGCCCTGGGATCTCTTTAATCTATATATACTAAGAGAAGTAACTTTCGTATTGTAAATACCCCTATGCGGTGGGGTCTGAGGACAAAGTCGTACTGTTGGATGTATGTGATATGAGGAAAGTAAGGTGTTTCTCACAGTGCTCCTCCGTGTCCTACTGTCTTTTGGTGTTGATGTTAGGGGTTATTCTAGTCCCCATGTTATCCAATCAAAGAAAAGTATATATATATATATATATATATATATATATATATATATATATATATATATATATATATATATATATATATATATATATATATGTTTGTGTGGAACGTTAATTTTTAATGTCCATATTGTACTGTGTTCTATAGTCTTTATTTCAATTCTCTTCTGATATAGCAATGCCAACAGGATAAAAAATATGATGAACATTCCATTTGAAGAGCAATCTAAGGGTTGTACATCTTTGATCAGATGTTTTTGATCGAAATCAATCTAACTAATAATTACTACTTTTTGACAGATAGATAAATAAAGAGAAATTGAGTATTATTCTTCTTCTAAATCCACTATTTTCTCTTTCCCCATCTTATTGTGTTTGTTAATTTAACAATGATCAGATTTGGTTATGAAAAATACGGTTGTTGTTTGTTTCTTTTTGTCTCTACCCCTACTCTGTCTCCACTTATATCTGTGTATATACATGTATATGTATAACTAGGTTTGAAAAGTTCTCCATCTTTTCCATTGAAGTCTATTGTGTCCTGTTGATGTGAATGATGATAATTCATGTCGTGGTTCGTTGAAATTGCCTCACTGTGTACGCACGTATTCTTGCTATATTATTATTATTATTATTATTATTATTATTATTATTCGTGTTGAACATCACTTCATTTTCATTATTAGATAGATATGGACTAACCAAATTTCCTCCTTCAGCTTTTTGTTTTATACAATTTCGCTGTATCATTTATTCTTTATCAAGGTTATCATGGTTGTTAAGAAATTAGAAGTTTTTTTATAATTATGCTATTTCAAGTTGTTATTCATGGTGAACTGACATCAGTTAGAGGAATCAAGAAAACCTGGGAGCACCTGGATAGTTGATTTCATCCTAGTATGGGACTTCTCAGCACTGTGCACCCACAACCTCGCCAGGGATGTCAGTCTATGATGAATAACAACTTGAAATATTTCCAAATTTTCACAACTCCATCAAAATTCAATTATGCTGTTGTTGTTTTCACTATCAGAATTCATTGTCTCTGTTTGTTTTATACACAGCATGGGGGGGGGGGAGGGAAAAGGTGTAGTGTTGTTCACTTTTTGTATTTATCTTCCTTCTATAAAACATCATCATTCTTTATCTTCCTAGTTTGCATAGTTAATTCTTTCTGTACGCACATACATAAATGACACTTTTGACTATTTATTGACAAATTTTCCCGATTCATTTCAATATTGTGAAACAAAATCACTTTTTTCAAGTTTTACTTTGAGATGCTGGTCATCTGCTGTTTTATATCATTTTCGGGACTTTTCTACTCTATTTTCTCCTTGTTAACGCATTTCTCTATTCTCTTACGGATTTATCTTGCTCCAACTTTTCGCATCTACTATGTAAATCTTATTGTTTCCCTTTGTTTTGTTTCTCTGTATCATTTTTCTCTCTTCATCTATACATATTGTTGTTATTCTGATGAATAATACTGATCGGTTTGTTCAATTGCGCCTGTATATGTGTACCATCTTCACATTTTTGACATTATAGCGCCATGATTCTATGTTTGATTGATTACTGTGAATACTATTGCCACCATTACTCACTACTGGAAGTTACAAAGCATACCCGTAAAAAGATATTTCAACTGTTCTTTTGCATATTTATTCTTTTTTTTTGACTTATCCTTGTTCTTTGCTTGTCGATACTTCACCTCTGTCTTTGTGTGTGTGTGTGTGTGTGTGTGTGTGTGTGTGTGTGTGTGTGTGTGTGTGTAGTTCAATATGATCATTTTCCTAGAAATAAATCAGAGAAATGTTTTTATAAACTTACCTACATCGTTATTGATCGATTTGAGGGTGACAGTTCAACAATCTTCCATTGAAGCAGAAATTTTTGTTCATTACTTCGACATAAATTGTTCTTCGTTTCTCGTAGCTCAGTTGATAATCCAGAGGCTAGTGGTTAGAATGCTTTCAAAACCCAAATTATGTATCAATTCCCGTTATCATCCCTGAACTTGAAGACTTCCAACCGAAACCAACTTTTACTGGTTTTACAAAAAGAATGAAAGTGATTTTATACGTATGAATGCACAGTATATGTAGGATAGCCTTTGATTTTTTCAGTACCTTATCTATGCCATCATCTCGACAGATTTTGTGGCTCGGAGATCAACTTATTCATAGCTGTAAGTTGTATCTAAACAATAGACCCACTCGATCAATAAATGTTTATACCATCTTTAACCCTATTGGTTTCTAGCCAAGACAGCTTCTTGCAACATGTTGCTTATCGAAGAGGAAGCTTCTCTTGCGTGTTGGTTACAAAATTTTACTTGATTTGGTTAGGGCTAGCAATCGTTTTATCGGCTAGCAATAAGACGATTACTAAGCATGAGAACCTAGACAAGAGAAAATGAAGAAGCCTTGCTTTTTTATTTCAAGGGTGAAAAATATGAAACCATTGGATTCTCATCCACTGGCTAACTGGTAACGTACCCTCCGTGACATCTGATGGTCCTCTACTTGATTCCTTGTCTAGTCGTTCGATGAGGCAGCTTTCTAGTTCCCCAAGGTTTTCAGTGATTCTCTAACTGACATCAACTCATGTTGAAAACTATCTTCAAAGAAATCACCCCATATAAGCCACCAACTGAAATGTGAAATCTGCTGTATGTTATGTAATTACTAGACGAGTAATCTAGTTAAAAAAAAGGGAGATTTGTAATGATTATTCTTTGAGTTGAGAAATATTATAGACAGAGCGAACACCTATTTCAAGGGAGTTAGACAACTGTCTCAACCCAATTTGTGACTTTTCAGTAGAGGCTAAGTAATGATTCCGTGGAGGCTTGTGCTGAGTATTGTCAAATCCCGCAGAAAACGCGTTTTCAGTCAATTATTAGGTTAGTATCCAGTGGTTCGTTTTTTCCAACTTCTATCTACTTGCAAAAGCTTGGACTTTATGCAGTGCTATTGGTGAGTAATTGTCTTCACACTCGACTTGATCGACCCTTTTGAAATTCCAAAAAATCAACCTAGAAACGAATTACTAATGAATAATCGATTGTTAACTATTCATATTACTTAGATAAGAAAATATTCCTGATTGACTGAAATCATTGCTCCTAGATTAGTACTGTTGACGATTCCAAACATCAAAGTTACAAAGTAGCAAAAATTGTGTGGACTTTAAAATAGCAGAAGTTAAAGAGATTTTCGATGACTAAAATTTCAGACTCTAACAAATTTAGGTTGATATTTGCCTTACAATTGATTTTCTCTATCAAAGAATTCCTAGTTAGAAAGACTAAAATTCACCCTACCTAGTTTCATAAATCTTTTGATCACTTCAAAGTTTTGTTTATTTCATTCTAATCAATCTCATATTTAGATACGGTCACCGGTACTTTAGTCAATCTACGTTCAGTCCTCCACTTGTAAAGTCTTCCTTTCAATATGAAAATTTACCATCCAATAGTTCTAGTACACGTGAGTACTATCCTGAAGTCATCATCTAACGTCCATTACTTGTCTAGTTTCTATCACAACTAACCAACCTCTGCATGTTCCTGATTCTTTCCGCTAGGAAAATAGACCGGAATGGTCTAAGTTTATTCAGTTGTCACATTTTTTTTTGTTGTTGACTGCTTTCCACTTTCATTGGTTATCCCTTTCTATACTGCTGTTTATTTCAGAGCTTTAAACTGATGACATACTCCTCTGCTGCAACTTTTTTTGATCTATCTGACGGGATAGAAAATAAGTTTCTCATAACTTTGTACTAGATACTCATCGTTATGCTAAAGCTCATAGTAAGATGTAGTCTGATATGGTTACATTAAGTAGTATCCAACAATGATGTCCACTTTATTCTTACTTGATTTTGTTATCAGTAGTATCCTCTGTTGACTTTCTCTTACACCAAATATTTTACTACTTTTTACTTTCCTCAATAAAGATATTGACATATTATAGAATCTGTTTAATACTCACATGTAAATTGTTAAAATGTCATACACTTTTCAACTCAAACGTTATCTGCATCATTGATGCAGGCAGTTTGAAGGGAAATAATTGGCTTCATTGACCACCTTAACTTGAATGCAGTCGTACAAATCCTAGTGGGTAGAAATACAGTTTACAACACTCAATCATGCTAGTGATACGTCAAAATACCTACGAACAACTGAGTTTTCTATTAAAGTTAGATGCAGAGTTTTAGACAAAGCAGTTGAAGATTTTCATTATTAAATATCTTTATTGCTACCTTACTTTACCTCTTAGTTTTTTCATCACTGACGACATTACTACTATCATGCATTTGCTTTTCTAACATTGTTTCTTAGTTGCAATATAAAATTTAATGATCTGGATAAAGAATGCAATTATATTAGTTCTTAGACTATTAGTGGTAACAGTTCCAAAATTTTATCAAATACAGCTTCCTAAAGAAAACTACTCTTAGCTTAATATGAGTGTCAAGCCTTGGCACTGTGGTACAATTTAATCACATATTAGATTTGATTATTTGATATACAGCTCACAAACATTTCAAGCATAAATTATCATCGTTAATAATCATATCAATTCCTGATTGTGGTCGACTGGATCATGTAACAGACAACTGTGAGGAGTTGTGAGAAGATGGGCATACACTGGCTGGCTGGACCGATGGAAAGATCCTAGAGGAAGATTTGGATTTATGTCTAATGTCATGTCGCACAAACTCGAAGATCTACAGGCAAAAACCAACAAGTTGGTAGAAGAG